ACACAGTTCTTCAAAGCAAATGTACAAAAGATTACATTTCTCTGAGACTAATCAATGTAGATGGTAAAAAAATAACAAATTTTTTTTCTTAAATGTAGAGGCTCAAGAGTTAAATGTTACCCAGCATTTGAAGAATGGAGTGAGTGGTAATCAAGTGTGGCATATGCCTATAATCTTAGCACTCTGAGAGACTGAGGCAAGAGGATCTCAAGTTTGAGCCCAACTTGGGTGACTGTTTCAGAGTAAAAGATAAGCAGTTGGGGATGTGGCTCAGGGCTCCTTGGGTTCACTCCTCAATAACCCCCACCCCCACCCCTGCCACCCCCAGTGAGGTAACTAGTATGTATAAAGAATCTCCATGTAATTTATGGGAATTGGTACAAATTCTATGGAGTATGTGTCAGAAAGCGACCAAACTGCACTTCTCATCTACCATTTGGCCAATTTGCTGGTAAGATCCTATAATGATCAAAAAATTAATTGGTGCTAATAGCTGGCTCTGCAAAAACTAGTACGGTTTGTGAAAATGGTAAAAGTGGGGCATTCATAAATTTTTTTATGGTAATAGGGAGTAAGAGTGCAATTTTATTTTTCAGAATGTCACAGTGCTACAGTTGTACATAATCACCATGAGTTGACCTTGATTACTTTATATGTGCTTATGTTGAAAAAACATTTGGATATGGCAGCAACTTACTGGAAAATTGAAGATAAACATGAAGTTGCAAAAACATTTGCAATTGGTATTTTTTCTTTTAAATTTTGAAGTATAAAAACTTGAGTATACAAGAACTTGTACCTACTATAGATATAGTGATAAGTAAAAGAAACAAGTTATCTGTATCTGAAATTACATACTATATTGTTTTCCTTATGAAAAGTCCACTAGTCTGAGGCTAGCATAAGGAGGACTCTACAGTTAGGGATCAGGTTCCTTACCTCTTATGGCTTTGCAATCCATCCTCCATATGCAGTTGGTTCTGTGGTCTTAGACTGCTGTTGTAACTTCCTGATCAAATCAATCTGCATCCAACAGGAAGAAGAAAAAAAGTTTGCCCGTTCTTTTTTCCTTTGAGGAGTTTTTCATCACTTGTAATACTATTTATATCCTGTGGTCAGGATTTGGTTACATGAACAAAGCTAACCAGAGGATAGACTTGGGATGTGTGTCGGCTGGCTGGGCTTGGTGGCGCATGCCTGTAATCCCAGCACTCAGGGAGGCTGAGGCAGGAGGATCATTGTGAGTTCAAGACCAGTCTGAACTGCATAAGGAGACCCTGTCTCAAAAAGACAAAAAAAAACCCCAAAAAACAAAACAAAAAAAAGACTTGGGATGTGTGACCATGTACCCAATTGAGATTTTGGTGTTCTATTTTTGGAGATTTACAAGCAAGGTTCTTTTTTAGGAAAAAAAAACAACCTGTAGAGATGCCTACTGCTTTTAGACAGCATATTCTGGATTCCTGAATTTGAGTATAGGCTCTCAAAAACCAGATAAAAGTAGTGGAGAATGCTGAAGATTGGCACCAATTGTATTATAATATAGAATTGCTTTAAAGAACTTTGTTTTGGCGCCTGCCTGGCAAGCGCAAGGTCGTGAGTTCGGTTCCCGGTACCGGAGGGGAAAAAAAAAAAAAAAGAACTTTGTTTTGGTGACAAAAGCTTCAAAGTTTTAGTATGTGTATGAAACGATCATAAGGAAACACATGAAGCACTAATACCTGTCTGTACCTTTCCACAGGCATGTCATGTTGCCCAGGGAACTCTCCAAACAAGTACCCAAAACTCATCTGATGTCTGAAGAGGAATGGAGACGACTTGGTGTCCAACAGAGTCTAGGCTGGGTTCATTACATGATTCATGAGCCAGGTACATTTTGTTGTAAAGTGTTAGCTGAACTAAAATGGTAATTGTGTCAAGTATTTTAGTAACCTGTGCATTGAATGATATCTCCAAGAAATTTGGGGTTTTTTTTAACGACTGATTCCTCAGCTCCCTGGAGTGTTGCTATTTTAAATAAAATGCCACAGGGATGAATATAATATATGCTACCCACAAGAATAACAAGTCAAGAAATAGTTACTCTTCTATATTATAAAATTTGTCATTGTTAATAGTATCTGAAAAGTATACCTAGAATTTCATTGTCCCTTCTCTTAAAACTGAGTACTTCCAGACAATTTAAATGTCTTTAAGTTCTGCTACAGAAATCGATGCAATTAAGTGATTTTCCTTTAGCCCCCAGAGGTTCATCTACCTCATTAAGGTTAAATGAGATAGTGTGTGGATTCAGCTGTGCTATGCAGGTTAGGCATATTTGAGTGTCATGTGCTACCATGTTATTAACCAAAAGCTTTTTGCATTAAATAGTAAACTAATTTTTTTGACTTTTTTTTTTTGGAGACAGGGTCTCACTAGGCAGTTCAGGCTCGCCTTGAGCTCACAATAATCCTCCTGCCTCAGCCTCCTGAGTGCAGGGATTACAGGCGTGTGCCATTACACCTGGCTAAATAGTAAGATAATGTGAAGCTTTGTGGGGTCGAATTCTATTTTTGTACTATTGGTAAATTTAACTTAACAGAATTTATTATGCTTTGAAGGGCTGGGGATATAGCTCAGTGGCACAAGTGCAAGATCCTGAATACCCGTACCAAATACATATATATATAGTGGTTTGAACAAAATCTAAAACTACATAATGTAGAATTAAAGCTATCTTTATACTCCTATTGAATAAAAACACCTTAAAAACTAAAATAATAGGAATCTTTTGTCAGATCATTTTCTGTTTAACATGCCTTTGAAGCAAAATTCACTTGAAACCAGCTAAGAGTTGATTCGTTTTATTCTGGTTGACTTGAATTATATACATTTTCTTTTCCACAGAACCGCATATTCTTCTCTTTAGACGACCTCTTCCAAAAGAGCAACAGAAATGAAGTATATCTGGGATCAACAGTTAAATCTTTTTCAAATTTAATGTATATGTGTATATAAGGTAGTATTCAGTGAATACTTGAAAAATGTACAAATCATTCATCCAAACCTGTGCATGAGCTGTATTCTTCACAGCAACAGAGCTCAGTTAAATGCAACTACAAGTAGGTTATTGTAAGGTGTTTAAGACATTTCTTCTAGACAGTTTTTCTCTTAATATAAGTGCCTGTTTGATGTTACCTGTTACTTTTGTTAAATAAAGTTTGTATGTTGCATTTATCCCTGTTTGAAGTTATTGAGGTATGTTTTCCCAGTTGACTTGTGACTAATTCAGATTGGTTTTGATTTTATAATTTTAGTTTGAGGAAATAAACCTGAAAGAGATGTTAAGGAAATATAAAATAGCATGATATGATGGGAAACAAGAAGCTGAGAGCCCAGGGATATGTCAAAACTAGAGCCAAAGCAGATTTTGTAGCTATCATTAGTCCAATATCTAGACAAATGTTTAGGATCGCCCAAGTGAACAGGAAAGCCCAACTTAATACTCTGTGTTGTCTCCACTTAATCTAAAAACTCACTGTCATCCACTTAACCCTGTTTATCTTTTTCTCCATTTGCCAAGTAAAGATAATGCTTCCTATTAAAAGCATCAGATATTTTAAGGTTCAGAAGCATTATAAAATACCTTCATGCCGCAGTGCAGTTTTTATGTGTTTTGATTGCTTTCTTAATTGCTAAGGAAATATTTTAGAGTTAAATGCAAATATCTTAGATTTATTGCTAGGCTAGAGAGACATTTTAAATGAGTAGCCAGTAAACACAAGACCCTATTGTAAAAGGCACCTTTGTACTTTGAGCACAATAAATATTACCTGAAAAAGGAGGGTGACAGCACCCTTCAACCTCCAACACAGACGCACCTGTGGGATCTACTTGAACAAGAACTGAAGCTACCTGTGCTTTTTGCTTTACCAGGTGTACAAGTCTATGCAAGTGGCAGAAAATCAATCAGTTTGTCTCACCTTAACACTGATTCATCAGGTGGCCTACGTTGCTTACAGGCTTTTTGATCCACCTGTCCCTTTTCCCATGCCTGTCTTTTGAAATCCATCCTGCAGGCTTTCCTTTAGACTTCTGTCCTTGAAACATCTCTTTAATTTCTCAATACTGGTACCCTTCTGCCTTTGTGTAGTGCTGTTGCAGAATATAGCCCAAAGATGGGAAGAAATGGCACTGAGGAGGTTTAAACGGAGGCAGTTAACTACACTGGGGGGCTTCTGACTAGGATTTCTCCAAGAGTCAGCCCAGCCCCGTAGAGTTTTGGGACTTTTAAAGGAAAATGAGCAGAGAAGTACAGAGGCAAATTTGGTGCATATGGGGAGAGGGTTGGGACTGTTGAAGTTTATCTCAGTTACATTACAGGGCCATTAGTTAACAGGCATGAGTTACACAAAGGAAGTGTCCCATTGTATTTGAAGTTACATTGCAAGGTCATCAGTTACAAAGGCAGCCATGGGGTTTTCATAAAGGAAGAAGTGTTCTGTTATCTAGCCTGCTGGACATGTCTGTTTGGTCTTGGCAGGCATCCTGGGCAGGCTTTTCCTTAAAATTTTAATTTTCCCCTTCAGTGCTATTTATTTCCCGCCTGCAAGAATACTTTTCCATCTCACCTTTCCTCAGCACATTGTGTGTTCAGCATTCGTTGAAACAAATTTTGGAATTCCTTTGTGTGGTTAATTCCAAACCAGTGGAAGTTTCAGGAAGCATGAGATGCCAATAAATAAGCTTGTATGCTTCCAGGTCTGTAGGATTCTTACAGGGTGTGCAACTGTCCCCTTAAGTCACCAACAACTTTGAGGGAATGTTAGGGAAATGTAGGAAGGCAGGGAGAGTGCTTGTAGGAGACCCCACCGAAGAAACCATCCTGCATTCCTAAGTCAGATCCGTGAGGCCCAGGGTGCGTGAGAAGCCTTAGCTTCACTCGAGGTTTTTAAGTCCCTGCCGTCCTGACTGGAATCACTTCGACTAACCCAGTGTGCCCTAGATCACAAGTCGGGTTCCTTCACCTCTCTTGGGGACCGCCCAATCCAGCCGCACCTCCGAGCACGTTTGGCTCGCGCAGGCCTACATCCGTCATACTTTGCGGCCGGAAAAGAAGCGAGACGGTCGCGGGTTGATGACGTATCCCTGGCGCCCGCCCCAAAGGCGGAAACGCAAGTTGTCGCCGTCCCGGGCGCGGGCTTTCACGGGTGCGGGCTCCTTCGGCCTGCCTGCCATGGCGTCAGGGGGGCCGTGGGGGCCTGAAGGCACGGTAAGGGCCACAAGGGCTAGTGTGGCCTTTCGGCGGCCTCAGCCCGTCGGCCTAGCTTGTACTAGAGATTTCAGTCGGGTGGTAACAGGACTGACCGGAGGATGAGGGCCGGAACCGGTGACGGTCCCCGAGCGGCCTAGAAGCCGTGTCCCGCCCTAGGCTCGCCCGGGAGTGGTGGCCCGGTGCCCAGGCTCCGCCCCCTGCCGGCGCAGGCGGTAGTGTGATGCCACAAAAGCTGGGGACGGCAGCCTTGCTCCCGGCTGCCGGCAAGGATGAACTATTGGGGAACTTGCTGCATTCCGGGAAGGAGCAGCTCACTGAAAAACACTTTTGGGCCTTTAAAATCTCGGTCTTCGCTCTACACTTCGTAACTGCTAGAAGCTAGATGCAGCTCGACAGTCACAGCTAACTAAAAACTGTAGTTATAAGTAAATTACTACCCCTCTCAAACAAAACACATTTTTACGTACACGTGTTCCAAACAAGGACTGTAAACATGTACTGCGAAAATGTACCAGAATGAAAAGAAGGGATGCAGAGATGGGTAGAAAGGTGGGAGGTGCGAAAAGGGGTAAGAAAAAGGAAGTAAATGTGTTATGTCCTTGTACCAGCTTCCCACAAGGGGTGTAAATGTTATGTCCTATGCACTTGTACTAATACAAGTTTTTTAAAAAAACCACTTTAAATTTGAAGGGCTTACGGCGATAAAATTATTTTCTTGCAAATCAAATCATGATCCTTTCAATAAATCAGCTCTTAGTAGTTTACACAGTAAAAAGCAGACATTGTAACTTTTTTGAAAGATTTTGTGGTAATATATGCGGTGTGTTCTGAGTGCTAACCGCAAACGTTTCCCAGGTGCATTTGATTGCAGTAGGGATAGGGTTCTCAGTTACTGTATACTTAATTAAACCTCAGCGGTGAAAATTCCCATTTCCAAGTTTAAAAACACAAATACGTTGTTACGTGTGGTCCCTTTATACATCATCTAGGTTGAATTTTTTTTTTTTTTTTTTTTTTTT